ACTAAAAATCAGCAGTTTTCGGGCTTCATCTCATTTGCTGTTAGGTGAGGACGACTTTGTTTCGAATTTTGAAGTGACGTTGGAAATACTGCTTGGCTTCGCCAGATCACTTTGGGAGTTGGGAAACTGCACAAAAAAAAAGCAATTTTGAACATTGAACATCACTATTACTCCTTTTGTCCGGATCACGTCCTGTTAGTGTGTAATTTCTCCGTTGATGTTTCTTGATTTATCGTCCCGTTATTCCGTAATGATTCTTCCGTGAAGTTTTACTATTGAATGTATGGTTATTGTTTGATCAATTTATAAAATATCCTATTGAATTTCATTCAGAAATCGCAGTTATCTCATCTGTATCATTCACCTTACACTGATGTATATAATATCAACATGTTATTATCATTGGTTGTTTTTTATTGGCTCTTTGAATTTTTGAGAATGAACTGTTATTGGATTTGTTTTGGATGGAAATGAGTAAATAAATAACTGAATAAATATAATTTTATTTTGCTAACTTCACTGCTATTGAAACGACCGACTCATTCATCTAATGAATAAACATCATTCAAGGGAGGTGACTTAATATTCAGAGATTGAACGCAATGAATCCAACAGGAATATTTTATTTATTCATACAATTTGCAAATAAGTGAACAGTACATAAAAGAAGAAGAAATAAGATACAGTAAAGCAATAGCACGGAAGGAAGTGTCTATGAAATGGTATGCATAAACATTTGAGTTGAGAAGTTGAAAACTTAATGAAACATAAGAATGGTAATGATCTTTAATACATGCTTTAAGGTAGTGGATCGCTAACACATAAAGGCACAATTGCATTAAAGAAGAGTAACAGCGGGTCAGCGAACCGAATATACAAGAAGAAAATGAAGATGGATATCCATTTGAAGAGATTGCTTGAATAAACTCATTGGAATTACACGTTCCATTAGAATATGGATCGTGGTTATGATATGATATCATTGTTAACACTCAATAATGTACTGATAAGTAATCAGTTGCTGATATCGAGAGGGCATCAGTGGCTCGTCGCAATGGGATATCGTGTTTCTTTGATCTAGTTCGTTCAGTCTTAATCAACTCCAAATTTTTTGTTCAGAAAATGAATTTAAAATCCGTGAAATGGCAATGAGACATTTGGATGAACATACGGTAATGTTCAACCTTATCAGCACTTATTTCATTGATATCTTAGGTCCTACAAAAGTTTGAGATTGTGCTGGAAAGAGACTTGATACAGCGTCGTTGTTCAACTATAAATATTGCGGATTAATTTGGTTACATAGATATTAAGTAGATGATACACAATATCGATGGTTAAAATGATCACTCGAAGGAAAAATGATCATTCGAGTATGGCTTAGATAGTAGGTGTGAGAAGTGATCATAGCCGAATCTAGGTGTGAATTTGATGTCAGTTTTGGACGAATGATCCTTGTTCTGATCACCGTTGCCGTTCGTTACTCAGGCACTGGCTTCTTGGAAATAACATTGCGTTGTCTTTCAGCCTCTCGAGACAGCAGATCGATTTTGTTCGTTAATTCTTTCAGTTGTTCCCCACTCGCCGAATTCGCTTTCGCTTCCAGTTCTTGTTTCAGCGCTATGATTTGTTGTTCATTCTGTAAAAGGTTAGGCGTATTGCTAATCGTAAGCTTAATCAGAATCCAAAATATAAAAATCCACTCAGATCATAGGAGAGAGAACTTCTAAATGATTGGCAAAATCAGCACAGAAAAAACGTTGAAGCGAGTATATTGAAGTAAGATTAGATCGGGTGGCTTCCATCACTATTCGTAACTATATTTCATTAGTGAGACTAATCAGCAATCGATATGTAATGAAGATGAATGTCATCTAATCACTGTATGAACCACCATCAAACTAACCAGGTCATGAAAGAATTTCTCCTCTCGAGCAGCCTCAAGTCTACCGAATGCTCCACCTGCTTGTCGGATCGCTCCACCACTGCCACCGCTCTGAAATTGTTCAATCTAACGGTTTCACCGGCCCATCTGCGATTAAGACTGAACATTTTTCGATTATTTTCTCATCATTCAGAACATCCGAAGCCCTCAATCTGGTCTATTTAACCTATCATTTTTATCATTTTAAATACAGAATCTGGAAAGAAAAAACTGTTTGATTCTGAGCGAAGACCTAAAAATCTCATTTAAACCCTCTCAAATGAGATCCAAGGATAGCTCAAACAGACCATCCGAACTTAAGTTTTAAAGTTACAATGAATGAATGATTTTAACCTTGCCGTCACCACTTCCAAGATCACCAATTGAAGTAGCGATACGTCTGAAATCAACACTATCGTTAATATGAAATGTTTTTTCGCATTCTATGCTAAAATTTATTATTGCGAATTTCCATCTTATAACTGCCTGACTATGATTCCTCAGATAAATTGTTCAAAGAAATCCTTCTGATCATTTATCAATCCATTCATTCAATCAATGAAACACTGACCTCACAGGCGTAAAACGTAAGAAGCGTGTTGTAAGCATTGTTGGGCAATCAATACGATGATGACGAACAGCACTTAAACAAAACGTGAAACTGAACACGGATATCTTCAATATCACCGGATAGCGTTAACGATAGCGCTGATGAACTAACTGATCAAGCTAAACAGCGATCGTTAGGAACTATAAGGTGTCGTGACAGAAAGGTTGGTAACTCCTAGAAATAAACGACTGCAGTAACTGATTGGAGTGCTCGAATCAGC